AGGACTATGTCCCTAACAAGGTTCTAGAAATTTCTCGAGCTACTTCTATTAACTAGGAAGCTTTTAGAAACTTCTCTCTAAAAGGTTCCAGAGGCTTCTCTTCTAGAAGGTTCCAAAGGCCTGTTTTCTAAAAGGTTCTAGAAACTTCTCTCTAGAAAGTTCTAAGAAATATGTCCCTAACGCTAGGAAGCTTCTAGAAGGTTCCAGAGACTTGCTTCTAGAAGGTTCTAGAAACTTATCTCTAGAAGGTTCTAAGGACTATGTCTCGAACATCTTCTATCAACTAAGAAGCTTCTAGAAGGTTCCAAAGACTTGCTTCTAGAAGGTTCTAGAAGCTTGTGTCTAGAATGTTCTAGAAACTTGTCCCTAGAAGGTTCTAAGGACTATGTCCCTAACATTATCGACCTGGAAAGCAGCAAGGACTATCTGATGCCTTATCGAGGAGATCGTATCTTGTATCAAAGGTTGGAGAAGCAACGTTTGATCAATAATGTACGACGTTGTTGAAGCTAGAGCAATTTCAGCTTTGCACTACTATTGTACCAATTAATACTGACTTCTTAAACCATGTACGTGCCGTAACTATTGAAGATCCAGTAGCCATTGATATCAAGCAGTGTACCAATGACGACAAGTTCAAGGTGGAGGGAGATCTTTTATACTTTAAGGAGCGGTTGTATATTCCAAAAGGACTAGCATGACTCCGAGTTCTTTAATCTCGCCACGATTTTCCAGTTGTGGGACATTTTGGATTCAACAAGACCTTGGAGCTTATTTCTCGAGATTTTTGGTGGCCCCAAATGTGAAAGAATGTTAAAGATTTTGTCTTCTCATGCAATATTTGTTCAAGATCTAAGAGTCCTCGACATTGCCCTTATGGACTTCTACAACCATTGCCGATTCCATGTCGAGCATGGTCTTCAGTTTCCATTGACTTCATCACGGACCTGCCATCATCGAACTCATTTGACAGCATCTTTGTCGTGGTAGATCGGCTTACAAAGATGGCGTACTTTGTTCCTTGCAAGAAGACATCATCCAGTGAAGTCACAACAAGGCTCTTTCTCGATAATGTGTATCGATATTATAGACTACCAGATGATATCGTATTAGATCGAGTAACCCAGTTCGTATCAAAGTTTTGGAGATCTCTTTTTGAGATACTGAAGGTGAATATCAAGCTTTCTTTGGCTTTTCATCCTCAAACAGATGGCCAAACGGAACGGGTGAACTAAGTCTTGGAGCAATATTTACGATGCAGCATCAACTATCAACAAGACGATTGGATCGCATATCTGCCGCTAGCCGAGTTTACATATAACAACACCCTCCATGCGTCGACTCAATACACACCATTCTTTGCTAACTATGGATATCATCCAAAGCTTGATTTATTGAGTCCATCAACAAATAACAATCCAGCAGCTAAAAGATTTACAAAGCAACTATCAGAGCTTCAAACTACGTTGAAGCTTCAATTACAATCTGCTCAAGAATCCTACAAGGCATCTGCAGATAGATTTCGGAATCAAGCACCTACTTTCAAAATTGGAGATAAAGCATGGCTTCTTTGATGGAATATCAAGACAAAACGACCATGTGATAAGTTGGACTATCGAAGACTGGGACCATTTATCATCCAGAAGTAAATCAATCTAATGGCGTACCGTTTGGAATTACCGGCTTCTATGAAGGTACATCCAATCTTTCATGTTTCTCTATTGGAGCATTATCGAGAGTCGTCCTTTCCTTGAAGAGTGCAATATCCGCCACCTAGTATTGAGATCGAAAACCACGAGGAATACGAGGTCGAAAAGATGTTGGATTCATGGCAAAGGTGGGACAAGTTGGAATATCTTGTTCATTGGTGCGGCTACGACATTAATGAGCGAACGTGGGAACCAGCTGAAAATCTTGCCAATGCGCCCCAAAAGGTACAGGAGTTTCATCAACAACATCCTCATAAACCTAAGCCGGTTTGACGATAGCTTCCTTCTGAAGCTTGCTTACCCAAGAATATAAGAAAGGATGAAAGCACACCAAAACTTATAGTTGATAAAGTAGAATTTTTTCAATAGCCTTCTGATATGGATAGCCAAGAGATAGATACTATGCCAGTCAGATTATCTCAACCGACTAACTCATGAAGGTGACTCCGAGATGAAGAACTGCCTATACCACGACGATGATGGAGGATACCAAATAATCGATCACTGGTGATTGTATTTGAGTTCGAGCCTGCTTACGATGGTCAGCCAGAAGGCATATTTGCAGAACAATTTCATGATGAGGACATGAAAGTTCATGCTTGGTCAGAAGTCGAAGGCGTGGGCCACTACCGTTGGCTTTAAGGGCCGATGAACCACTTGCCTCATGAACAAGAGTTGGAGTTCATAGTAGACATAATGTAACAGATCTTCATTTTCTTACGTTGGTACTGATTAACAATAATATTGCTTCTCAGAGACCTCGAAGCTAAAGGAGGGGGTGATGTTAGGGACATAGTCCTTAGAACCTTCTAGAAACAAGTCTCTGGAACCTTCTAGAAGCTTTTTAGTTAGTAGAAGTTGCTTGAGAAGCTTTTTAATTGGTGGAAGTTGCTTGAGAAGCTTCCTAGTTAGTGGAAGTTGCTTGAGAAGCTTCCTAGTTGGTGGAAGTTACTTGAGAAGCTTTCTAATTGGTGGGAGTCGCTTGAAAAGCTTCCTAGTTGGTGGAAGTCGCTTGAGAAGCTTCCTAGTTGGTGGAAGTTGCTTGAGAAGCTTTCTAATTGGTAGAAGTCTCTTGAAAAGCTTCTTAGTTGGTGGAAGTTACTTGAGAAGCTTCTTAAATAGGAGTATATATTGGAATCGAGGCTGAAGAGTTCTTCAATCTTGACAACATATCTCTTGGAGCTCTAACTCACCTCTCTAGTGTTGTTCTTGTATTCATCTGATTAATCTAGTTCTTGCCAGTTCTTCTTGAACTTCTTGTTAGATCTCAAGCCTATATTTCTGTGTCCGTGATAATTAGAATTTTTTTCTATTTATAAAGAAGTCAATTTTGTTACTTATTGATTACATCTATCGCAGTCTATGAAGATGCATTATGTATTCTACATGTTGTTACTTGAACCATATAAGATAGTGAATTTTTCGAGAAGATAAATGCCACCTCTTCATATAAAAGTGGATAATAATCAAAATTTTGAAGTAGAAGAAGTTTTAGTTTTAAGGTGGTATTGAAATATGTTGAATTATCTTACTCATTCTTCTAGATATGATATTAATGAATGTACATAGGAGCTAGCAAAAAAACTTGCAAATGCAACAAAAAGGATTGAGGCTTTTTATTGAAAACATCTATCAAAACCAAGATATAGAATTGAAGGATCTATGAAAGATGATGACCACTTGTTGTGCAACTTGTTCTTAAAAGGAGAGATAATGTTACAAATATATGTATTTATTCTAATAATTATCTATACGATTAAATATAAGTAGATAATAAGTTAGATTAATTTCATAATATCCTCTAAAAAAGCTTCTTAGAAACTTCATAGACATAGTTTTGACTTTATTCAAGTTTGTAATTGATTAATAGGTTAGAAACTTGATCAATTAATTATCCTTATGTTATATGTATTGATAGCTTGTAGAACAAGCTAAATAGATGGTACACATATAAGAAACTTTCTTTGCAAGTTAAAACATGTATCTTATAAAGTCAACACATGTTAGAGATTATAGAAGATATCGCCACATAGGTCCAAATTAGAGAGAGTATTTGGAGGTAAGAGTGAAGCCTTCTTTACTTTTGTCAATGCCTTTCTAATCGTTAGTCTTATTTGAAGACTTTCTAATTTTCTTATCTTTAGTAATAGCTATTCTAATTTAATATTATATCATCTTTGAATGATTATCTAGTGTTTATGAATGATACAAGAGTATCTTAATCTTTCAATTCTTCAAGATTTGTATCTTTGATATCATATATGTTTTCTATCTATTTATCTATTTAAGAATTCATCTAATTTTTTTGCTATAACTATAAGCTAATTTCAACCTTATTTTCATTTAAGGGTCTTAATAGATCAAAAAAATAAAGAGTGATCTAACATTAAAATTTAACACCAAGAATCAAATAAATCTCAATTTAATTTTTTTTATCAGAATCAAAAATATGTTTGTATATGTATATATATATATAGTTATCGTAATTAGTATTGAAAAGAATTTAAAAATATAAAAATATTACTAAAAAATAGTAGTGACCAATTAAATAATAGTATGTGTGTTTTAATGCTATCAGAGTGTGAATCATAATCTAAGTTCATTCATTATCACAATTGTTGCCTTTGTTTGAAAGTAAAGTATTTTTCCAATTTAAGAATAATTATGATTTATCTCAAAGAAACACATGCAACTAAAGATGATGCCACCTTTTTTTATTTAAAGGAATTTCGTGTAAATTAGAATTCAAAATAGAGTTCACTTTTATGTGTTATATGATACATTAACACAAAAGCATCTTTACAGTTGAAAATTATTGTTTATACAAATGTGCTAATTCCACATATATCATTTCTGAGAGAAAATTGCAAGAATGCCAGCAATGAGGATTACATACAACATTTATTACATATAAATATAGATATAAAAAATGAATATTCCACATTTTATTGGCTTTCAATAATTACCACACTAAAAACTAATTAACCCTCTTGAATCATAACTGAATAGAACCCAAAGACAAGATATGATGGAAACACAATCCATATCAATCCATATCATTTCATAAATCCATGTGACGCTTCATTCACTCCCCGTCAATGGTGGGGCAGTACCCTACCCGTTTTGGATGAACCCACTCCCATTAGATGAATGTGTACGAATGAAGAATCTACGTGGATGAGGGTCTTGCATCTGACGTCGTGGGGTGGGGTGAGTTGCGTGGCGGCTTCGGGGACAGGACAGGGAGAGGACGGGCCGGGTTGGGTAAGGCCAGCCAGCCACCCGTCCGGGGCGGAGAGGCCGAGGAGCGGGGTACAACTCACAGCACCCGCATTGCTTGCCCAAGGGAGGGGTGGAGGGGCCATGAGATTTGTGCCGTCAAGCATGTGCGGCGCTGACGCTTCTTGTTCACCTTCCAGTGTCCACCTCACAGCGTCGAACTGAAAGAGGCATTGCACCAACACATGATGATGCCACAATGACAGACAGACAGACAGACAGACAGATAGATAGACAGCCAGCAAGACCAAGACGAAGAAGTAGCAGAAGTAGAAGAAGAAGAAGCAGAAGCACTTGAGCTATACAAAGGAGGATGAAGAATTCAACTCCTAGAACCAGTGAGTGGATTGGAAGGATTTTGCACCCCTGGTGCATAATCTACCAAGCTCAATGTGGAAATTGTTGGTTAACATGTGGATGGTTTGGGCAGATGTCCAACACTGGATCTAGACTTTTTGTGGTTGTACCACATGAGCTGAAAAGAAAAGAAAAGAAAAGACAAGAAAAATAATTATTTGCGAAATTGCATCGAAATAGCAAGGCTGGGTTCGGCTTTGATCAGCATGTGTGACCTCTGGTCATGCGTGCAATTAGAGGCACCAGTGTCCGAATGGGAATGTGGGCGAGGTTGCATTAGCGCCGAAAATGGTGTGGGGGGGTCGCTCCATATACGAGACAGTGCTCACGATTTGAAGCATCGGTTAGTGGGTTTTCTTGGCTAGTGACTGCAAGCATCTGGTCGAAGTGTGAGGGCTAAAACTGTTATTGCTGGGGCCGACTTGAAGCAGAGTCGTTGAGAATTGCTGAAATCAGCGCTGTGCTTGTAATCAGTTAGACACAGTTGACGCAACAGTGAACCGAACTTTCTGCTCACTTGCAGAAATATGTCAGGCCTCGTTTGCCTTTGCCTACCTTAATGCCCTCCTGATCATCTTTCTTGATGCGCCGTTGTAAGTCCCTGAATTGATGTCCCATGCACTAATTCATGTGGGATTGGATCTTTTTGTGTGAGCTTCAGCATTGTGATAATTTAACGTTTCAATTGCTTCTTTGCTGCTTTTCCAGGATTTCCTACTCTTGACTGTAACATTTGAAGTGAAGGCTTTCGTCATCTCTCTTATCAAAGCTCTGCAAATTTTTCAAGTACAAGAACAATTTGACAAGGACGTGGAAGCTGCTGGCACCATAACTGCAAGAGAGAAAAAACCCAGTATTCCTCATTGTTGTGTACCGCATCTTAATATTGGTGTCGCTGCAGGGTACTGGTTGAAAGATGCCCTCCCTGGCGCAGTGTTTCGTACTGACAATAAACTCTTGGCAGTAAGTGAGGAATGACTTCACGGTAGAGGAATCTGCTTCCAGCTTCAGAGATTGATGTGGATTCAATCTCCACTCTGCCCATATCAAATCAAAGCAGAGTGTGTGTTGAGATCATCTCTTTCTTGAAGATAATTAGGTGCGTGTCTAATGATGCCAATTTTACCATGTTGATGTTTTTACTTGGAACTTCTATCCTTAATGTCCTCTTTCTGCCGTGAGCTCTGTTCTATATACTTGTGCAGGAGTTACTTTGTCTGAAGACAGGAGACAGAAGCCCCAAAAGGACCAGGTTTAGAAGCTTTGACTTCGTTCATTGAATGTTGATGATGGAGCTTTCAGGTTAACGTTTTGCTGCAGCAATTTTCCAGCAAGAACTTGATGGAAGAAGATTAATATCCCTTTAATGGCGTGGCTCATTATAATGGCTTAGGTAGTTGGAGAACTTTTGGGTGGCTATACACTTGTGACGGCTTGGTTGACCACATTAGCTTCTGTTCAGAGTGTCTCTTGTAATAGATTTTACTGCGCCGAATGGTAACCTAGCACTACAATAAAGGAGAGTATGTGGACGCAGGATTGGAAGACTTGCTCCCAGCAAGTAACGCACTAGGTTTAGTATTTGCGCTTGTTCTCCTCTACTTCGTTTTTACTTTATACTTTCATATTCTCGGCCAGTCTTCGAAAGAGTGCGTGCAAGTTCCAAACCTGGACAGACTGCTCCACATTGATCCACAGAAGCCAATGCGTCTGCCGTTGCACAGAAATTTCCCAGCTTGGGGGAAGTTCCCAGATCTATTCCAATCCTGCGTCCACATACTCTCCTTTATTGGTCCATGGTGAGTGTTGATCTGGACCCTCTAGAGACGGAATTTCAGCGGCTTGAATCAATGTGCGCAAGGAACAGTCGCAGGATCAGTTAATGCACGGTCACCCATCGACGAATTTGTGCAGGTCGACCATAGATTTGAACACGCATCTATCCTCATCGGACAAGCCACTGGTGCCGTTGCCACCAAGACCTCCGTTTCGATGTGAAATGGGCACGATTTGCTGAGAGCCATCGAAATTCTTTTGCAACAGACTCGCGAATTGTCTTCGAAACAGCAATTTCCGCTGCTATTTTTGCCATGCTTGCCATAGAACCCCTAAACAACTAATCTATTTTAAATCTATCATCAATCACAAAATACACTTCATCTAATTTTATATTTCAATTCTTCATTATTAGTTTCTGGTTAGCAATAAAACTTGAGTATAAACGTATCAATTCCTTAGACCTAGTTCCGTTCTTTTTTCTTATCTCCTCGCAATAGTTAAATAACAAAAGCGATCAAGTTGTGGCACAATGAGTGAAGAAAAAGTTACTCTAAAATAAAGGGACGAGTCGACTTTTTGCTGCTCAGTGGCCAAGTGTTGGCTTGTGCAATTTTCGAAGTGTTCAGGCCTGGGCGGTTTGAATGGACAAGTGTTCAAAGCGAAGCAGCTGCGATGCATTGTGTCAACCTTAGCATGCAGATATGGTGGTATCACATTCAAGGTGTTCACAAGAGTTCTGTGTTCATATGGCAATGGCGTCGGTCTCAACCGTTTGGATTATATCTGAAGGCTTTGAGTGTAGGTGTCATGATTCATCGTGATGTTTATCTGCTGTTTTCTTCTGTAAATTGATTGATTGATAGTCCCGTTGCGAAAGCTTTTGCGAGTGAGTTTCTGTGAGAAATGTGTTGTAGTTGCGATTTTTTTTTTTTTTTTTTTTTTTTTTTTCATTTTATTGTATTGAACTACGAAGCATTAATTCGTAGTTCGCGTTGGAGATGATTCCACAGCACAGTATGATTGATTTTCTGTGCTGAGAGCCGTGGTTTTGAAGAGCTCGAGTCTGGATTGGTTTTGAGATTACATGCTCCAATTCAATACTCTCGGAATAAGATTGTGAGGAAATAATTCGGTTTCTTTTGGTGCTTATAACATTCTCTCCTGAAGGTGGTAGCAGTGTTATAAGATGCCAGAAAATGGGAGAAATAGAAAGGAAATTATTCTACATGGTGATGACAACAAGGATACAAAAATTATTATTGAAGACGATGTCAAGCCGAAGCAGATCGTCGTTTAAGAGACGGGTAAGGCGGATAGAATTATTCTAGATGGAGTTAATGATTCTGAGAAGCCGCGTCAGACAATTGTTTTTCGACGAGGTGGCAGGGACAAGGTGCCTTGGCGGAAGTGGCTGGCCGTCGCGAAAATGGTCATAACGGCCATTCCCTTCGCCGCGGGTGCAGGATATCTTGTCTATCAAAACAGACCACAAGATCCCATCTTAGAAGTGAAAGATATCAGGCTAACTAGTTTTGATCTCCACACAAGCACCGAATCCATGCTCCTCGCAGTTATTGATATCAAACTCACTCTCGTCATTAGAATTGAAAATCCTAACATCACCGCCATTACATTCGACACCACTATACTCAACATTTACTACAAAGGGAGCATTCTTGGACAGGCTAAGGTATAGTTTCTCCTATTTTTAATTCACGAATTCTATGTGGAAGATTCGTTGAACTTTGATTCTGTATTTTGTACTTGATTCAAACATATACAGGAATTTGTGTTTTTGTTTTCGTGATGTAGTTGTATCCAGGAGACCAAGGATCACGAAGTGCACAAGTCTTGGAGCTCCCTTGCACTATGAGTGGACTCGAAGCAACGCATCATCTCCGGGACCTGTTTTTTGATGTCACGAGGCGTGTCATGACTCTAGATGCTAGAGCTACAATCCATGGCAATCTCGTTGTTATGGGATACAGACATTATTTTGAGGTAATGCATTGAATTCCTTGTACCTTGGTTAGTCGGCCCGAGAAAACACGTTTCCTTGGCATTGAAGGTGTTCGGATGCAGCAATCACAATCAACATAATTTGGTTGAGATTTGAAGAGTTTGTGTGTTTTTGTGATCCCCATTGAAGGTGCCCAAGATTCTGGGTGCTTTTGAGCATTAGAGCATTAAAGTAACGTCAGCAGTAACACTCGGTGAAAATTAACAAACATTAAAGATTCATGACCACAACTTTGAAAAGATGATCCACAACAATTTTTTGGTGTGCAGTTTTCAATGTCAGTTACATCCTCCAATTTCTTGAAGCTATTGATTGTTTGGCGATTGTTCACAGGTATATGTAAAAAGCCGAATCGACGTGGATCCCCTCTTTCTTGATGTCATTGGTCAAGACCACAGAGCAGACATAAAAATTGCCCGTGTTAGTGTGGCCAAATTGATGGACAAATGACGCAATTATGTCCTGACAATGTGTTCATCGATTTGCCCCATTTCCGGAGCCTCCAGTCTTAGACAAGTTCGTAGAATTGTAGTACAAAAGAATCAAACTGGTGCTGATCGGAAAGAAGCACAACAATGGTGGAATTGTTCTGGATATGGAACATCTCATTTTGCAATAACATTCTCAACATCGCTGCAAAAGCTGAGCATGGTTGTTGGATGCGAATGGTTGTTGGATGCGAGGAAATGGTGGTCCATAGCACTGCAACGTTAAACACTGCCAGAGTTGATCAGTGTGTCGACTCAATTATTAATCCCTTGTTGCTGATTCTCTTCTTTTTGCTTTTGTTTTCATTGAATCTCTGTTCTACTTCCTCGGCTTTTTTCTTCTATTTTTGTTTTATTTATCTTATATTTCTATTCATGTTAATGTGCCGAGGGGGAATGGTCTGCAATTTTAATTTTAGCCATTTTTTGCTAAGAACCGCTTAGGGTGTAAATTGAACCGAGACAATACGAACACTAGTTTTCACAGACGGCATCGATGATATTAAGGATTGTGTTAGCGATTGAATTCAAATGAATGACTCAGGAATCTTTCAATCCCTGGTTTCTCAGCGCAACATCTCTTCTTAGATCGCAGTCATGCATCGTGATGAAGAGCATGGGACCACAATTCTGTAATGTCAATAGTGTTGAAAATCGACAGACAGTCGTCCAAATTTAAACGCACTTTTCTTTCGAGCTATTTCCGGTTTTTCCGCGATTTTAGAAAGTACTCAGGAAGAGACAGGAGCTCCATCGGGAATGCGTAATAATAATAGCTGCAAAGCCTCTGAAGGGCATAGTAGCAATTGTGTCCCAAAGTCCCGATAATGGTGGAGAGTTCATTGTAGAGCTCAATGATTTTGTCTTTGGAGGGGTTTTAACGCCCTTTAGTTTATTGCAGGAGTTCACTAGAGCATTGGCCATAGCAATAACACCATGTTTCGTTTAATTCACGGCTAGTAAGTCTCGGTCGAAGGTTAGCCACAACGGGTGGAAGGAATCACAATGGCGCGGATGATGCTGAAAAGATTTCCTCTAACGTCGTCATCTCACCCTCTAGGTTCGCAGCACTTGGTTCAATCTGTGCTTAGTTTTGTCACTCCCAATTTTCTGCACAATCACTTCTCGGCAGCACCTCCTTGCCCTGCACGATGCCCTTTGAATGCTCCTCTTTCCAATATCTGCTGCATATCGACCATCCTGCATGTCACCTACACTCGTCCATCGCTGCAACCTTCGCTCTTGCGGAGCACTCTTTCTGAGCGGCGCGGTCAAGTTAATCGTCGCACTTTCGGAAGATTCTGGAAAGCTGTGACATTATCAGGATTTTCCACTGACGCTGCTCACACAGAAAATATGACGCCCGAGGACGTGCTACACTACTGGTGCGATTTGATTGCTCATCTCAAGTATTCGAACTGTTTTTGCGTAGCCTCTAGGTTTTTATCCAGACACTAGCGCTTGCAAATGTTGGAATGATCTAATTGTAATGGGTTAATCCAATTTGTGGCAACCGAGCTGTTTCATCATGTAACCTGTCCCGCACTTCGCTGGGATGTAATCTGTCAGCACATTTATGCAATGTGCAGGTCAGATTTTTTTGCTCACAAATGTTCGGCAGCATGTTATCTTACGTTTGCATGTAATTTTCATATGAGCTCTGAGGTCTGTGACTGTTTCCTGGCAGGTTCAAGGATGCCGACCTTGCCAGTAACGAATTCCCGAATAAATTTTGGTTTTTCGGAGGAGAGGCCGTGGACAAGGAGGTGAGTTAGCTGCAAAAATAGTTATTGATTTGTCATTTCATTCTATGAGGCTCTTGGTGCGAAAAATTCGTTCACCACGAGTCTTGTAGAGGAAACTTTAATTTCTCTGAGCGAAAAGAGTGTGACATGTGTTGAACGGATAGCATGGTAATCCAGAATTACGTGAGCCATGGTCTAGTATCTTGATACAAAAGAATTGGTGGAAGTCAGATAAAGGAAAAGTTCGGCGAGTGTCTCCAGAGGGCTATACGTGGCGATCTTGACCACTGGAAATCAACCCCACGTGGTAGGGTTGCGCTTGTTCTGGTGTTGGACCAATTTTCGCGGAACTGCTTTCGCGATTCAAGTCGTGCATTTGCACAAGATGATACCGCTTTGAAACTTACCGTGGACACAATCGACCAGGTTTGCTTATCCAACGAAAGAGTACAGCACTCGCCAGACATGACATCAATTATCTGTCATCTTACTGAAGAATGTTTTAGGATTTGGATCTGCTTGTTGTGTGTTGTATGCAACGGTTGAAATCGAGTGATCTCTTGACTGATTTGACATTAATATTGTTCTGAGTTATGGCAGGGTTTGGATCAACAGCTAAGCAATCCTTTGGAGCGATATTTTCTGTACATGCCACTAATGCATAGCGAGTCACTGGAAGTGCATGCTATTGCTCATCGTATGTTTCAGAAGCTCACAGATGATCACAAGGATAATCCCGAGCTCTATAAGTTTTTTCAAGATGTTGTTAAGTTCGAGGTGAGCCTTTGAAATTAGAACATTCTAACAAAAACGTGGCTTCGGTTGCAGACCTATTACACAAAAGCTCCGTGAAGTTAAGTTAGTTTTCTAGAAATAGGCAGATGTAATTTTGCTCTTGCTTGTCAAGCTCATAAATGTGCAATTGGTTGTCTGTAACCGGTTGTTCATAAGTCTCTTTGACCTGATAAAGTTAATTCGTGTATCATTATAAGCGATGTGACATGTGGTATGTAAATTTCCTGAAGTGCATCTTGTCAACACTTGCAGATTGCTCATAGCTCAGTATTGGCTAAATTTGGGAGATATCCGTCGCGAAACGCCATCTTGGGCCGCAGCAGCACTACCGAGGAAGAGAAATATCTTGCAGCTGGTGTACTGTGGCCGATGGAGGACTAGTTGGCCGAGAACTAACTGACGTTCTAGATTTGTGTTTTTTTACAGATAGAAGCCAGTCTTTCCATCTTGAAGCTACGGCTGAAGAAACTGGATTAGAGGCTCAATGAACTTAAAAGTTTGAACTCCGTGCAGCTGATTATTTTCAAATGCTTGGTTATCTTCACTCGTAGATAAGTTCATAGGTTTAATTCTAGTACTTCCACTCTTGTACTGGGGCTAGTTATACGAATTTGAAAGAAGCCGCCATTTCACAACAATGCTTTTTGTACTCCACAGACCACCTGTTGATTTGCTGTATATTATTCGAACTACCTTAGCCTTCTCCGTTCTGGCTGCTCCTATTCGTAATACCACCTAGACTTCCCGACATTGTGGAGACAGTAAAGTCGTAAGTATATCTTTGCAGATCATGCAACACCCAATTCAGTTCTTGCGTTTCAGTAATATTTCACAAAACTAACAACTTTTCACCGACCCTTCATCTTTCGAGGAATTATACGATGTTCCGTGGGATTCACTCTGGCTAGTTGTTCCGTGTGCATGGGAGCCTTTGTTACTAAGGCCTCTTCTTTACTTCTAACGGTGCTGCACGTGAACAGCCTTGTTGTTTTATGCCTAGATTTGACGAGTGGTAGGGTTTTAACGTTGAGAGGTTGAGAGGTCTTTGTAGATATAAGGATATGTGATTAGGGCTCTTAATGTTAGAACATACTTGTCACTTGATATATCAAACCAAGGGAGTCTATATACTTAGAAGAGAAGGTGAGAGGTTACAATTTTTAAACTCTTTTATTGGTTGAAATCAAAAAGCCTTGCTTAGTTAAATTTGTACTTTAAAAAATCAATTTGAATATTTAAAGAAGATAAGATGAGATGGAATGCACTTTTTTCTTGTATGATATTATGAATGTTATGTTTTGGAATTTTTTATAGATCTATATTAAGAAGTGGTTTTTAGAAAAAATTAAAAAGTTGTATTCAAAATTACTAAAAATAATGATACAAAAAAATTAGCTATTTTATAATTTTTATAATTATTAGAATAAACATATAAATTGAAGAATTTAGATCTAAATAGACTATTTTTTTTTTATTTACATAAAACATAAAAAACATTCAATTTATATGTTTATTATGCTTAATATGTATATTCTAATAATTATGTATATTCTAATAATTATGCTTCAAAGCCATAAAATAGACTAATTTTTTTTTTATTACATAAAACATAAAAAATAAATGGCTTTGTTGATTGAATAATGTTGATTATATTATTAGAGTTTTAGTTTATAGTTTTAGATTTAGATATAATATGCATACCTTTAGAAAGAGTGTAGTTCCAAATTAAATCTTTCTTTGAGTTTTATTATTTTAATTTATTTCTTCTGACTTAGGTTTTTTCAAACTTTATTTTGGAATTTTCTTCTAATTAAGGTCAATATCTTTTATAATCTATCAATTTGTATCATATTAATGAATTTATTTATTTATTTCTTCATATTTCTTACCTATTACTATTTATTTTTAATTTTTTTTATACTATCCAATAACATATTCCAACTAGTAAAGGCCAAATTAATTCAATATCATTTGTATTATTTAGGGCCTCATTAAGTAATATTTGTTAAAGAATGAGTGTTGACTTTAAATTATTCTTTTAGTCTTATATGTTAAGAAAATTAAAGAATATTTGTGTTTTATTGCTAGATCAATTTTTTATATGGGAAATTTCAAAATTAATATAATTCATTTTAAAAACAATTGCAAGGATTCAAAAGAAACATGAATTATTGATGCCACTTCTGATTTCTTAAAATTTTAATAAATATATTTATTAAAATTTTAAGAAATTAGAAGTGGCATCAATAATATTTTAATAAATATATTTATTAATTTTTTTTTATGCAATATTAACCAAACAAGTAAAAACTATATTTTTATTCTTGATTTATTTTTTATATATATTTTCTAATGCATTTGTAATTTGAATAAGAATATTATTTGGTACTTAAATATTTAAAAAGAAGTAGGACATACATATATCAAAAGAAGTTTTGTGCATATTTATTTGTAGTATATTCTTCTAAAAAATAATTTTTATCTTACAAATAATATAAAGAAGTAAATTATAATTTATCTATTAATTTTAAAAAATCAATTAAGAAGATTTTTCTTGGAAGAATAAAAAATATAATATTTATTACTTTATAATATAATATAAAAAATGCTTATATGAATTTAGTCAAAAAATATCTTTAGAACATTATTTTTTTTATTAATATGTAATTTTAAAATTTATTTATATATATATATATATATATATATATATATATATATATATAATCTTACTAATGCTACCACAATTTGCCATCCACTATATGCCACTACAAAGTTTGATGTTTCTACCACAATCCACCATTTACTTGACATATTTTTTTTTTGTTTTTTCTATTCTAACTAAAATTTCTATTAATGTTTATAATGTTTTTTTTTCTTTTTTTAAAACTATATGAATTATAAATTTAATTTTAGCAAAAGCTAATAAAAAATTTAGTATGAATAAGTTTTGGTGGTTGCAACAAAAATATTAGTGGCAATAATAATATATATATATATATATATATATATAAAATAATTTTACAATTAATGCATCTTGTTTTGATTAAATAAATTTTTAATACATAAATTAAACAATCAAAGTCAATATGTAAATAAAATCCAATCTAATATTTTACTTACGTTATTTGAGATCCTTGTAGTAAAATACAAGTCTGCTAAGAAAGAACTTTTTATAAAATAAATTCTTATATATATATATATATATATATATATATATAGAGCTAAAATAATAAATTTGATTCTAGTTAATTTCTATTTTATATAGTTCGATGATTATTCATACAAAATATTTTTAATTTGATGTATTCCAATCTAATGAAGACAAACAACTATTGCTAATAAAATGGTAGTGTATACTAAGTGAACATGTAGTATATTCTAGAAGGAAAAGTTTAGAATAAAATAAAATTTATGAAATGGTATATGTTTAAGATATTTCTTTTATGATTTTCTGATTTTGTAGAAATTTCAAAGAAAGAAATTATAACTTAATAGAAATTAAAAAGCCCCGTTTAATATTGTTTAAAGACTAAGTCTTATTAATTTTTTATTTAATTTTATCAAATAGAAAATAATAACTAAGTATTTAAGCTTCAATCATTAATTTGGTCAAAAATTTACTTAAGATTGTTTTTATAATAAAAAAATAATGAGTATACTATTTCAAATGCATAAGTAAGCATTTTGCTTCAAAACCTTAGGTCTAGCATTGATTTTTTTCTTATCTAATAGATTTTTTAAATTTTATTTATTATATATATATAAAATAAATATAAAAATAATTTAATTTATTACCAAATTTATTTTAGTATATTAATCTTTAAAATATATAACATTTTTTTTCTATACTTGTTAAATTAAAGATATGTCCATTGTTTAATAATTAAAATCTACTTTAAATAGAATATCAAAAAAGATATATCTATATATATATTTCCATATTTTTTAATATTTTTTAATTACTTTAGTTTTTTTATAAGAGTATAATATTTTTTCCAAATTTTGATAATTAATTTTTAATCCTAGAAACAAATTCAACAATTATATGATTTCAATTGTTGAATCAATGTTTTTTTAATACTATTTATAGAAATTCTTGCATTATTTGTATATTGGGTATTATCATGGATATATATCTACTATAATTGTTATTTAAGTAATATGAATAAATAGAAGTAGGTAAAAGTAGATTAATTTGATAATACTTTTTAGAAAAAGCTTCTTAGAAGCTTCCTAAATAATTTTTTGATTTTATATGTGTTTGAAATTGATTAATAGATTAGATACTTGGTCAACAAGCTAACCATGTGCCACATGTATTGATAGCTCGCGAAACAAGCTAACTATGTGGCATCTATATAAAAAACTTGCTTTGCAAGTCAAGATACGTGTCATACAAAGTCATTACATTTTTGGAGGTCCTATAGAACATTGCCACATAGATCCTAGGTATATAGTATATATAGAGGTAAGAGTGAAGCCTTCGTCATCCTTGTCAACTTCTTTCTTGTTTGTAGTCTAGTTTCAAGAGTCTCTAGTTTCTTTGTTTTTTGACAAAAGCCATTTCAATTTCCTTTTTAATATACATACTTCTCTATTTCTATTTTGTTATATTTCTTTGAAAGATTTCATTTGTTTATTTGTATTCATTGAGTTCTTGGCCTTGATAGATTGATAAGAATCTACTTATAATATTAGAGTTTTATCTTCTCTTGATTAAGAGTGGATTACCTCTTTCTCTATATAAGACATAAACATATTAGAAGTTGCGGATTACCTTCTTTTAAACTAATATTGTTCTTAGTATTTTTTTTGTTCTCAAGTCTTGTCTTCTACTTGTCTTAAGCAATATTAGATATTTTTTTCAAAGAATTATCATAGCAAAGCTTCTTGAAATAAAAAGTGCAATGGTATAAATGCAAGAGCAATTGAAGGAGTTGATGCTTGCAATATATTAATTCAGTTTATTGCTACTAAAAGCAATACAAATATCAAGAAGTAATGATATAGACATGATTGGAGCCGCTTCAATATCTATACTAAATCACACCCCTTTTTCTATAGTAGAATATCCTTTAAGTACTAGAAAATCCAAAATTACCTTACTTGGGAAGTTTCATGGTACAAGATTTAAGTTTTGAGGTTTTATCAATTAAGTACAACTTGTGATTGAACTTCAACTCCAAAGCTATCTAATGCTAAGATCACAAGTTAGATTCATTAATACACTTCTTTTAGATTTGGCATTATCATAGTTTTCATCTTTTCTTGAATGACAAGATCTAGTATTGGATAATATAAAGGCTTTTTTCGTGGAGTTTTAATCCATGTATAGAAAACATGATGCAATTTGTGTAACAACCAATAAGATTCATATCTAGTGACAAAACAATCGATTAGTGACATCATATGCTTCACAATTTTGACAACTAGCAACTCATGTCAAGTGAGATGATGCTGCCCTTATCAACCAATTTTTCTATGAATTACAATATGAAGTAAAGAAATTGATTCTCAACTTACATGATCCTTAGATATTAAGTCAAGCAATTGATTTTGCTGTGAAATTTAACAATTGGCTTTTTGAGTTTAAATTTGAGAATCATGTAAGAAAACTTCTACATTATTATAATTCAATGATAACTTGGACGACCTCTAAATCTAAACATTTGCAAGTAGAAGACATGCAAACTGATGCGGTACATTTTAAATCTCTTAGTGAACAAGAAAAGATTCATTGTTGTCAGGAAGGACTATGTTTATATTGTGGATAGGCTAAGTATACTACTTAATATTGTCCAAAGAAACAACACAACTACAAAATGAGGAGTACAATTGTCAAAGATGAAAAAATATTGGAAAACAAATTTGTCTAGCTACAATAGAGACTATGCAGCTGGGATCTTCTACAAATGAAGGTCCTATCCTCTCTTTAGATTCTTCTTCTTGTTTTACAAAAGATGTACATTTAAGATCTAATAATGACAAAGCCTCTACCTTGATAGATAAAAAAGCCTCAGCTTATTTTTTAGGTGAAGAGTTTGTTAAAAGCCATAAAATATTTGTATTTTTATGATAGAAGAGAACATCAAATATATGGTCTTGTAATATCTATAAAAGCAATTTGCAATATATTCTTGAATTTACAATAAAAAATAAGATATATTGTACAAGGCATTAAATACAACTTCTTGAAGAATTGTGATGAAAAATTATAAGTTTAAGAGCTATGTGGTGAAATTTAATTTTTCTAGATAGGTGATTATAAGGGATTTTGGTTGTGGAATTTAGAACTTTCCACCACTAATAAAAATAAACAAAGTAGTCTAAATGAAGCAAACTAAAAATATTGTGTAGCAATAATATACATCTTTTTTATAAAGATTCCATTCATCTGATTTAAATTTGTATTAGTAAGTATGGTTATCAGAACTATTTGAAATAAAAAATATATATTATGTCATGTGAATTTCAATTGTCAATTGAATTTGAAAAGTATATTTGCTCAACGTAATACTCATGGCCAATAGTAACTATTGCAATAGATTCTTGTTTTAATTAAAAACTTACATTAGAGACATTGAAGATTTTCATGAATAAAACTAAATCATATTGTCTATGTGAAGACTATATTTGTAGCTGGCATGGTTTACAAATCCTAACTAGTACTTTTTAAGGAGCCATAGAGTGGTTGACAATTAGGTTTGAAATCCAAATATGTCAAATATATAAAGCAAAAAAATCCCAAATTCATGGACTAGTCCCAAATATTTGAAATAAGGATTAGTTTCTATACCATTGACTGTTGGTAAATATTGCTATTTTAAAAATATATTATTGGATATGAATAATGCATATTCTATCTCATCATATGGGGACTTAAATATATTTGATATTTGTAATCCACTACTCTCCATACTGTTCCCATCAATCCACACCTGCTTGCTCATGTGCAGGCAGGGTTGCTGACTAGGCAGCACAAATCATCCAACTTGCTTACATTTAAGTTCCCATCTCCTAGAAAATTTCAGCACTTACTTGAAAATCTTACAATTAAATTTATAAAGGAGGAGTACTGATGAGGAATTGAACTTATGTCTCCTGGAGTACATGCTGGTGGATGGATTAAACAGGTGGAGATGCATTTCCATGGTAAATGCCACTAATTATTTTGGGTTATCTGTGAATCACACAGTGTACACTGAGGCCTCTAGACACAACATTTCTGACAAAGCCTTGGCTGGTCTCCAGCTCTAAAGAAAAACTTCGTCATCAAGCTGGATCCTTGAACTCCGGATTTCCCATGAATCTTTTATCCATTTGAAATTGTTCATGGTTTTTAAGAAGTTCACCACGCAGCACAGTGGTAGACAAAGTGGAAGTTACTCCATCAACTTGATAATTAGAACCCTTGATTTCCTTCGGAGGGACATCAGAATCCACGCCAGCAGCGTCGGACAAGGCAACCGAAGAGACAGTTTAGAATATGCCAAGAGAACCTACGCCTAAGAAAGCCTCCCTCGAGGTAATTTGATAATGCATTTTGAAGTACATCATTACTCCGAAATTTCTGATAAGCACCTCCAAAGCGGTTTGCCTAGGAGTTTAACCTCACAAAGCACTGTTGCCAAACACAATGTGAGGCGGGGATTGGGGGTGGCAGATTTGCATGAGTCCAAATTTTGTCGGTACCGCTTCATGTTAGTATCTGGGTTGATTGTTCTCGTACCTGAAAATAATGTAGCACTTTCATACTACGTGCTGATCGTCAATCTTTCCTGGTGAAACAAAAAGGGGATCACCTAACTGCTTACTGTCCCAGTGTGGCACCTTGGCCGCAAGTTGATCTGCTCGTTGTATCCTGTCTGCAGGTCAGTCTTCAATACTTGAAAAACCGAACAATCTTATGTGGAGCCACCTCTTTCAATTTCACGAATTCCATGCATGTTCGGATACTAAAATTATACCAAGTGTTCTGTCAGCTCACAAACACTGGAATTCTTCTTCGAAGAGTAAGTTATTATTGGGAGAATATTGTGTCCGTCGATGTCCAGTCACTGACAGGACCTGAGCGTTCCTCACGCACACTACGCGCCACTTCTGAAAATTCTTCTACAGATCAACCGACAAAGATATTCTTCAAGCTTATGCGTACCGACCTCATCCTATAAAGTTCACTTGATGAGCTCGTTGACATCACACTCATTCCAGTGCTACCACCCTGTCACAAGAGCGAAGCTGAGTCTGGAGATTGGAGCTGATCAAGATTGTGCATTGTGTTAGTGGATTGTAAACCACAGGGTCCACAATGGCGCGGTTCGGGAGGAGCATCGCAGCGACGCTGTTATTTGCAGCGCTTCTGATGATTTCGACTGCCGATGCGGCGCTTTGGTTCGACCGCATCTACGTCGTCATCTTTGAGAACACAGACTACTCCGCGGCCATCGCCGACCCCAACTTCGCCAAGTGGACGGCGAAGGGGAAGAAGTTGACGAATTACCACGGCGTGGCGCACCCGTCTCAGCCCAACTACATCGCCATGATCGCCGGGTCCACTCTTGGCGTCACCGACGACTCCGTACACAACCTCTCGCAGCAGAATCTCGTGGACCTTCTGGAAACCGCTGGGGTGTCTTGGAAGTCGTACAACGAGAATTACACGGCGTCGCCCAACGTTTGCAACCTGGCGGCCACCATCGGATCCGCCGTCTGCCCAAACCAGACCAAGAAAACGACCAAGACCACCCTGTACGCGCGCAAGCACAACCCCTTCGTGTCCTTCACGGACATCCAGGGCAGCGCTTCTCGATGCAACAAGATTGTGCCCGCGACGCAACTGGCAGTGGATAAGGCCAACAACGCCATCCCGCAGGTGGTGTTCTACGTGCCAAACCAGTGCAATGACGGACATGATATTGGAGTCACCTACGCTGGAAAGTTTCTGGACAGCTTCATGACCAGCACTTTCACTGGCAACGCCATAACGGGGCGCACCATGGTGGTGATCACCTTCGACGAGAACTCGGGCACTTCAGGGAACCAGATCCTCACAGCGCTGGTTCCGTTCGGGACCATGGGCATCACCGTGGGCAGCAGTGACAATACCAACTTCAACCATTACTCTCTGCTCAAGACCATTGAGCAGAACTTCGGCACTGGCAATCTGGGCCAGAACGACGTCACCGCCTCCCCATTCAACTTCCCTTGAAGATGATCGACATTGCAAACGTTTCAGCTTATCAATGTCGATGAGTTTGTTGGAATTGGAGTTGCCGATGGATTCCACTAATGTTTCAGTAGCCCGTCAGTATTGTGGTGATGAGTTCGCATGGAAGTTTGTATCATAGCTAGAGGTAGTCAGCTAGCTCCTCTTAGACGGTTTATCGATCGTCAGCTTGAGCTAGGAGGCACTGCAGATCAAAGAGTGATCATCAATGGATGTGCTTTGCTGGTGATGTTGTAATTTTCCACTCAATAAATGTGATCAATAAATGTGATTTGGTTGTAGCCAACTTCACCTCATATTCATATTGGCCTTCTATCTATACATATTATTTATAAAAAAAATAAAATTTTTTTTTTTAAATTGATAAATAAATTAATTTAACTATAAGTATAAAAAACTAAACTCGTACATATAGAAGACATGGATGGTTGTTTATTATCTTTTAGAGATATTAATTATAAAATACTTTCTATAAATATAAGAATAAATGGTCATAATAGTTGCATAATTTTTAATATAATAAGATTCATTTTTAATCTGGTCATTTTAGGTTTATCGTGGATAAATAAGTATAATTCTTTGCTGGATTGAATTTTTTGTAAACTTCACTTTCTTCACAACATTATTAATTTTTTTTTAGAAAGCCATGAATCTTTTATAGCCAAATCCATGCTTGCAAGCGCAAAAGCTTTTTTACTAGGTGCAAAAACATTCTTATTAGGTGCAAAAGAATGATTGCCTTTTGTTATATATATCACACCTATTTTTAATAATGGAAAGACTTCATGTTGCATTCAAAGTCAATATTAAGATTTTCAAGATATTTTTGAGAAGAAAAATGTAAATATTCATGTAGATCATTATCCATATGATTGCTCAATCAACCATAAACAAGGAAGTTAGCCACTATTTGGTCTAATCTACAGTTTATTAAAAAATGAGTTGACTAAACTCAAGAAGTACATTGATAAGAACTTGGCTTAGAATTTCATATGCCATTCCAAATTTCTTAATGGAGCTCTTATCTTATTTGTGAAAAAAAAAAGATGGATCATTGTAAATGTGCGTAGATTATCAAAGATTCAAGAAGATAACCATTAAGAATAGATACCTTTTATTCTTGATATCCTCTTCCTAATCAATTAAATAAATGTAAGATCTATACAAAAATAGATCTATAAAGAGCATACAACTTGGTTTGCATTAAAGAAGGAGATGAGTGAAGACTACATTTCAAATAAGGTATCGACACTTTGAATATAATGTCATGTCTTTTGGACTCATAAGTGTATCAACTGCATTTTAATATTTTATGAGTGACATTTTTTGTGAGTTTATAGATGATTTTATTTTTTGTTATTTAAATAATATTTTAATCTATTCTAAAAACATAGAAGAACATGAAATTCATGTTCATCATGTGTTACAAAAACTTAGAGATGCGAGATTATATGCTAAGTTGAAAAAGTATGTATTCCACTCTACTGAAATTAACTTCTTAACATATATCATTTCCAACAAAGAACTTATGTTGGATCCAAAGAAGATTCAAATTATTATAGATTTAAAGATTATAAAAACAATAAGAGATATTTTTTCAGCTCTCCTAATTACTATTGGAACTTCATCAAGAATTTTTCATAAGTTGCAATTCTTCTTTTATATACAAAGACAAATTTGATTGGAGCAAAGAAGCTAAAGCATCTTTTGGAGCCTTAAAGTTGGCATTTATTTTGGCACCAATTTTGATTTGTGTCGACTTTTCAAAGGTATTTTTTATCACAACATATGCATCAGATTTTTCTATGGATGTTGTTTTGTCACAAATAAGAGAAGATGACAAGTCCTATCCAGTAGCTTTCTATTCTAAAAAATTCTCAACAGTCAAGATTAATTATGAGATCCAAGACAAAGAACTTCTTGTAATTATAGATTTTTTTTTAAGAATGGCATCATTATCTAGAAGGTGCTTCCATTGAATCAATATATATATGAATCACAAGAATCTTGAGTATTTCATGTCAGCATATATTTTGAATCATTGCAAGGCTTGTTGGAATAGGTCTTTGTCAAGATTCAAGTTTATTATCACTTATTGGTGTAGATCATCAAATTAATTCACTAGTTATTTTAAGATAAAAAGATGCATTTAGAGTACTTAGAACCACAATATATGGTGAACAGTATAGAAATCTTTAGACAAATAGAAAATTAGAATGTTGATTGTAGAATTGGAGTCTTAATAAGTCTTAAAAGCAATTATTTTAGTTGGTTTAGTATTTTTTTATTTATTATTGAATATTAAAGATTACTTATTAAGGTCAATATTCATATTAGCCTACTATCTATATATATTATTTATAAAAAAAACTATAAATGTTAGTTAGCAGTAAAAGAAGCATGAGAAAGAACTTCATATCTTTTTAGTTAGTTATATAAAAAGTAGGATTTATAATAGATTTAAATTGATTTTATTACTATAAAAAATCTTCAAGATAGAAAATTATAGCTTCAAATTTATTTTAATATTATAAAAATATTATAGGATTTTTTAGAATTTTTAGAATTTATTTAGAAATTTTTAAGATTTTTTAGAGTAATTTTTAAGACTTTGATAAAAATGAGTTTTATCACTTCGGAAGCCATTATGAAGAAATGGAGCAAGATTTGAAGGCTATATGAGGTTTTTAGGCTAATTGGATTTTTTAAATACCATAGTAAAGTCAAAAATGTAAAAATATTGATTTTACTAGTAGAAAATAGGAAGACCAATAGTAAGTATAGTCCTTATAAGAAAAGAGGTGTACAAGTCCCATATGGATTGTAGCACCTTAAAGATAGTTAAAAGGATAAGACTAAGGCCTCATAGCCTCTTTTGGCATCATATACACTTCTTGTGAGCCTTGGTGAGGCTCAAATTCCTGATTGCTTAAGTAAATTATCTTTCAGGTAAAAATTATTTATTTAACTTTTAATATATTTATTTTTTATTTTTAAAACCTTCATAACTTACTCATAATAATTCAAATTTACATGTTTCTTATACCATTCAAAAGATAAAGAAATTACCTTTTTTAAAATATATTATTTGCTTTTATTTTTTTATTTTTTATTAGATAAAAACTTAGTGAACAAACTATGATTAGTTTTATAGTGTATAATTGCTTGATTGCACTTATTTTGTATTTTTCTTCTTTTTTTCTTGTTCTCGCTACTTTCAATTTGTACCACCTATTACAAGAAATTTTTAATTGAGGCTTTCTTGTAATTGAGTTGAAGATTAAATTTTATACTCAGAATTGACCAAAAAATCAAGAAGATTTGTTTGATGCCTTTTTTAGATATTCTTGTCTTGTACCAAAAGAAGGAGATGCAACTTTTGATCAACAATTGATAATTTTTTTTAAAGTCTATACAATTTCATCTTTAAGTAGTGAATGTTCTATAAAAAATTTATTATAATATTTTATTAAAATAGCATATTTTGTACTATAGACAAAATCTATAATAGGTGAAGAAATTACCAAGCTTTTCTTTGACAATGTCTATCAATATCATTGATTGTCAAAAGATATTATATTGGATAGGAGGACTCAATTTGTAACAGGTTTTTAGAGAATCTTTTTTAAGATTTTAAAGGTAGACATAAAGCTTTCTTCAGCCTTTTATCTTCAAACTGATGGACAAATAGAGCAAATAAACCAAGTTTTGGAACAATATTTAATGTATTCCATCAATTATCAACAAAAAGATTGGACAACCCTCTTGCCATTGGCAAAGTTTACTTATAATAATACGATGCATTCTTCTATGCAACAAACACCCTTCTTTTTTATTAATTATGGTTATCATCCATGGCTTGATAATTTTTATTTTTTTAAAATTAATAATTGTGTGGCAAAAGATTTGGAAAATTATTTATCAAAGCTACATGCAACAATGAAGGCATAATTATAGGAAGCTCAAGAATGACAAAAGATCAATGTGGATGTCTATTGAAAAGAACAACCACAATTCATTGTAGGTGACAAAGTGTGATTACTTCATCATAATATCAAGACTACTCGTCATTGTAATAAGTTAGACTAGTGTAGGCTTAATGCTTTTTTTATTTTTAAATAAATCAATCGAGTTGCTTACGGATTATATCTACCAAAATCAATGAAAATCCATCCTATGTTCTATGTATCTCTTTTTGAACTATATAAGACTATGAACATACCAAGAAGAAGTCAAGTCCTATCTCCTCTTATAGAAGTGGACAATAATGAAGAGTTTGAAATAGAAGAAGTTTTAATCTCAAGATATTGTTGAAATAAGTTAAAATAACTTATTGATTGCTATGGATGATTGTAATTGTTGTTTTACTTACTTTAGACTAATCTAATTGGAATAAACCCATATAAGAAGTTTTGAATATAAAAAAATATTATTTACATGAATTTTCACATTAGCATTAGACAATTAATTGTCTCTTGATCAATTCAAACAACAAAGAAAGCTACAATGCCTCCTATATTCTATCAAATAAAATATTACAATCTATAATTCTATATTATACATTCACTATCTCTTCTCTTCTCCTAACTTATGACAACAATAAGTAATATAATACTATCTTAAAAGATTATATAAAATATTTCCTATCCAATCACTGAAATTCTCTAAAACAAACTATTATTTCCAGTATTCTACTTCATACAATTTTAGACTCTACAGTCTTCTTCTTGGCACACTCTCAACTCTCAAAAATCAATGCATTATAATTCTTTTAATTATATCCATACTTCACAAATATCTTTCATTTTCAACTTTTTAATACTTCACTTATAATTCAGTACACAAAAAATTCAATTTCTCATTTGATATCATCTAAATCAAATCTTTGTTTCATTCCAAAATTTTACTTCACATTATTCAAGTTCTATCCATTATTCTTCTTCTACAAAGAAAATAAAGAAACAAAGAGGTAGCACTAAGCT